CTGCCACCAGGTTAGGGAAAAATATCTCATTTTCTACTACCATGAACAACTGGTCCCTCACCCGGCCACCAAACTGTGCTCCAAAATTGCAGTGGTTAGCCAATGCCTTCAATTCCGCATATAAATCCTGTACGGATTCCTGCTGCTTTTTCGTCCTCAACTGGAAATCCATCAAACTCCTGTGATATGAACGTTTCACTACATAATAACGTTTAAGCACGGTAATCATGTCTTCATAGGTCTTCATGTGGGGTAGCTCTGACGCACACAACTTACCCAGGACACTATATACATCTGTACCCAGTGAAACTAAGAGTACCGCTTTCTTGTTGGCGTCCTCCTTAATCTCACGGTACTGGAAGTTTGCTTCTAGCAGGCTGAGCCACAGGTCCAACGAGATCTTGGTGCCATTAAACAGCCCCATTGAGATGAATGGGGTAGCCATGGCCACACGGTGGGTTGCACAACTCACTGTTGTATACAATTTGCCTGAAACGCTATGCGTGCTAGTGGCTTTACAAGAATGTTAATTCAACTTATTTTCTATATTCTCTGTTAACCCCCAATGTAACTTCTTGTATATAAATAAATAAATAAATAAATAAATTCCTCCACCCGTCCACACGATGGACTCTGCTCTCTCCTGATCCTCACACCTCGTCTCGTACCCGGGCTCTCTGCCGTAGGTTTTATAATAATAATAATAATAATAATAATAATATAATAATAATAATAATAATAATAATAATAATAATAATAATAATAATAATAATAATAATAATAATTGATTTAGGAAAAGTAAATACATAGATGTAGAGTTACACACATTCTGATTGATTTATAGATAGAGCTAGTACATACAATACCTGAAGCCACTATTATGCATAGCGTTTCGGGCAAGGTGAGGTGGGAAAAAACACTTTGACTAAAACTTAATAGTAATTGAGCTTAAAGTATAAATTGCGTTGAAAGAAAAAAATAAAAGATAAAAAAGGGGGGAACATGGTAGAAAATAGCCAATATACAAGTTGATAAGCAAACAGCGTTGTTTAAAACTAGTAAGGCATGGGTTGACAATATAGGGGTAAGGTAGGTTACATGGAGTTAATTAGGTAGTGCTTAGTTTTTATCTTAAACTGGTTGAGAGAGGTACAGTCTTTAACATGATTGGGAAGGTCATTCCACATTCTGGGTCCCTTGATTTGTAGAGCATTTCTAGTTTGATTAAGTCGTACTCTAGGAATATCAAATAGATATTTGTTTCTGGTGTGGTGCCCATGGGTTCTGTTACAACCTTCTAAGAAGCTTTTAAGGTCAGGATTGACATTAAAATTCAGAGTTTTAAATATATAGAGTACACAAGAGAGGATGTCAAGTGACTTAATATCTAACATATTCAGAGATTTGAGTGAGGGTACCGAGTGCCGTCTGGGGCCAGAGTTAGAAATTGTTCTAATAGCAGCTTTGTGTTGGGTAATTAGAGGACGTAAATGATTTTGGGTAGTAGAACCCCAAGCACAAATACCATAGTTGAGATAAGGATAGATGAGAGAGTAATAGAGCGTCACCAGGGCAGGGCGGGGTACATAATATCTGATCTTAGAAAGAATGCCAACAGTTTTTGAAACTTCTTTTGCTATATTTAGAATGTGTTCCTGGAAATTCAGCTTGTTATCGATGAGGACACCAAGGAATTTACCATCAACTTTACTACTGATTTGTATATTGTTTATTCTTAGATTAATTTCATTTGAGGATTTATTATCAAACAAAATATAGAAAGTTTTGTCAATGTTAAGGGTGAGTTTGTTGGCAGTTAATAATCCTCGTCGCCACTGTTAAGTGTTGGCCGGAAGAGAAACAATCTTCGTACACATGGTTTATTGTCAACAACAACAACAACAACAACAAAGACGTCACAGGTATACCTTACATAATTTACTATTTACAAGATTATGAACATACGAGCATCTGCTCTATACATGCTACACTTAACGTCTGTAGTACTTAATCCTAACAAGTGAGTTTATGTTTAGCATGTTTAGGGATTGAAACGGGGAGGGGGGGGGGTCCTGAGTGTTGTTTGAAAGCCGAGTTTGTTATTGTTCTGATTGCAAATTTTTGTTGAGTGATGATGGGCTTGAGGTAGTTTGAAAAGGTTGAGCCCCATGCACAGATACCATATGAAAGATTGGGACAGATTAGTGCATAGTACAGTGAGAGGAGAGTGGAGTTTGGAACATAAATAGCCTTTGCTTTTCACAAAAGCGTTGGGTTTTCTGTGAGAAGAAAACGTAATTCTAAGAGTTGCGTCTAACTGTCTAAGCTGTGTGCGCAACGAGCGGGGGTACTTAAATGCGTGCCCATGGACTTGGCGACCTCTGTTTCGCCGCCTTCCACAGCCACTTCACATACAAAATGGTTTGGCGTGTTCCCAGCGCCGACGCTCTTCCACCATCCTGTTACGCATGGACTACGACAAGTACCTTAGAAACCCATTTGCTCACTTTCGACTTATAGCCCTAAATGCCGGCCCATGTTGCCTCCATGGGCAGCCCGCACAGGACTTCCGATTGATTGGAGTTGTCATCATTGGCCCATCTGCATCTCAGAGCAGCCCGCCAGGGACGACCTGCCGATCTCAACATGTCCTAAGGTATAGTGGTGCCCGTGTTTTCCCCCACCACACTCAGCGTGTGGGGCGTGAGTTTGACACCACTCAAACCATCTTGCCTCCTTTACTTCTCTAGAAACTCGTCTTGCTTCAGATATCACCGCTCTTAGCAGACTTCTTCCTTCTGGTGTGGGGTTTCTCTTGAGATGTTTTCTGAAGATGTTGACTCTGTGGTTCTGTTCTTTAATTTCATTACTATAGAACCAATAGTTCTTTCGTTTTGTGTTTCCTGTGATAATGATTGGAATAGCTTTGTTTGCAGCAGCTGCAATGGCTTCCTGCAGATTGGTCTCGTGTATGTTCAAATCCTCAGGTGGCGTGTATGTTGTATACCATTTTTCAAGTTCCTCTTGGTATATATTCCAATTGGCCTTTCTTAAATTCCACCTAGGTTGTGCAGGTGGTGTAGGAGGTCGTTCTATGTTTAGTGTTGTGACAGTAGCATAGTGGTCACTGGTGATCACCGGGTCTACTTCCCACTTCGCCTGATGCTGGAGTGCTGTTGAGATTAATGTAAGATCAAGGGAACCTCCTAGAATGTGAGTGGGTTCCCCAGTGTTGAGAAGTGTAATCTCAGGTACTTCTCGCAGAGCTGCAGCTAAATGGCGCCCATCTGCATTGGCTGGCCCAGTCGCACCTAACTCTTGTTGATGAGCATTAAAATCCCCAGCAATAATTACATTTTCCAGCGTGGCCAAGGCAAGCACTGCCTCTGCTTCTAGTTTACGTCTAGGGGGCTTGTAAACGTTGTATATGAGGAGCTCAATATTAGCCATATTCACTGTTACTGCTAATACCTCTACTCCATCCCCACATGAAACTGGGTCTATTTTCTTGCTGGGTATGGTGTTCCTGACTAGGGTCATTAATCCTCTTTGTCTCCCCTGCTCATACGGTATAACATAGTGCTGATATCCAGCTAATCTGAAGGATTTCGTGGCTGGGAAAAGAGTTTCTTCCAAAACGATTATATCTGCTTTCGTGCTGATTGCAGCCTCCTGAAGTGTGTGGTTTTTATTCCCAAGACCTTGTATGTTCCACTGCAGTATTCGTAATGGCCAGACGACGGTTACGGTTGGTGTTGCCTGTTCTACCAGAACTCCTCTTCGGGATCGACCTCTATATTCTCCACCTCGCAAGTCGTGTTGCTGCATGTCGGACTGCATTGATTGCTCGTGGTCATCCCCGGCATTGTTGGAACCTGTGCATAACTGTGGTCCATCACTTTGCTGTTGGTATTGTTGCATGTCGGACTGCATTGATTGCTCGTGGTCATCCCCGGCATTGTTGGAACCTGTGCATAACTGTGGTCCATCACTTTGCTGTTGGTATTGCTGCATGTCGGACTGCATTGATTGCTCGTGGTCATCCCCGGCATTGTTGGAACCTGTGCATAACTGTGGTCCATCACTTTGCTGTTGGTATTGCTGCATGTCGGACTGCATTGATTGCTCGTGGCTGTTTCTTGTGTTGTTGGAACCTGTGCATCTCTGCTGTTCAATACGTCTTTGTTGGTGTTGTTGCATATCAGACTGCATTGGCTGTTGTTGTCTGTCTCTTGTGTTGTAAGATTCTGTTGACCTTGGGTGGTCACTGCTTCTTGCAGTTGCTGTTGTAAATGTTGATGTTCTGGTGTCTGGACTACCCGACTGTTGTTGGTAGTCTGTATGTCCATGTTGCGTTGTTTGTCCTCTTGTGCTCCGTCTTGTCTCAGACTGTCTATGTCTTGTGTAACTGTGGTCTGCTGCACGATCTTGTCCATTATCACACAAGTGATTTCTTGAGTCTGTTGCTGTGAGGCGTTCTGCGTCATCTGTAGGCAATTGATAATGGTCTCTGCCATGATCTTCACCATGTTTTTCAGCTGGACCTCGGGGGTAAAACTGTACATCTGTTGTGTTGATTCCGAAAGTAATTGTTTTTTGCTCTTTTGCATTTGCTGTATTTCTGCAGCACTTTTGTGTATTTTCTGATTCAGAATTAATAGATTCGGGAAGTTTTGTTCTGTGAGAGTGTGTGTGTTGTGGCTGTGTACGAGTGTTCCAGACGTTGGTGTTGGTGTATGAGGTGCTGGTCTGTGTATTTATCCTGGCCTGAGCTGTCTGCACTTTTTCTTTCCGTGCAGAGCAGGTTGTGCTCCAGGCATGATGTTTGCCTCCACAATTTGAACATTTGGCTGTTGTGGTCTGGTTTGCCTTGTGCTTGGCTATGCAGTCTTTGGTTGGATGTCTCAGGCTGCACACTCCGCATCTCTCCTGTCCGGTGCTGTGTGATTGATGGTGGCCGTATTTCTGACAACTGAAGCAGCACAGGGGTCCCGGGACGTATGGCCTCTGTCGGTATGTTCCCCAATTTCCAAGATTGAATGTTTCTGGCACATGTCCCATGACGGTCATTAGAACCTGACGTGTCGCTGCCTTGTCTACTTTTGTGCGACATTGTTCTGCATTCAGGATTTGCCTGTGTTCTAGTATTGGATCCAGGGGAAAGTCGATTGGGTATCCCAAAAGCACGAGTCGTGTGAGTCTTTTTTATGTTTAGTGTAAGTTTGTTGGTTGACATTCATGAGTGGACTTTTATTAATTCACTGTTGACAATATTATTTAGTGTGTGTGGGTTGGGGTCAGAATAGTTGAGGGTAGTATAGTCAGCAAATAATATAGGTTTAAGAATGTTAGAAATATTTGGCAAATCATTGATGTATATAAGAAATAGGAGAGGTTCTAGGATGCTGCCCTGTGGCACCCCTACGGTTAATGGTAGAGTAGGAGAGATTATATCATTGATGGCTACATATTGGTGTCTGTCACTAAGATAGGATCGGATATAGTCTAGGGCAAGGCCTCGGATTCCATAATGGTGGAGTTTAAGTAAGAGGGAGTTGTGGTTAACAGTATCAAAGGCCTTTATCAGGTCAATGAAGATTCCGATTGGAAACTCATTTTTGTCAAGGGCTGAGTAGATTATATCAAGCAGACTAATAATTACATCATCGGTACTCTTTTGGGAGCAGAAGCCAAACTGACAGGGATTTAGTATGTTGAATTTTACGAGGTAGGAGTAGAGCTGTTTATACAGAATTTTTTAAAATATTTTTGATAATATAGGTTGATATGATTTTGGTCTGTAATTGTTTATGTCTGCTGGATTGCCTGCTTTATGAACTGGCGTTACTCGTGTGTTTTGAAGGATATCAGGGAAGGTATTTGAGATTTGTTGAATAGCAGAGCTATGTTTTTTATTATTATTCACAAGCTTAGATATACACAGCAGTTTGCTGCTGCACAATTCTACATGAAAGATTACACAGTGTAGATCAAAACTAGTTATAAGTTCACCAAATATTTCAATCTCAGAGGATGGCAAGTCATACATGGAATCAGGGGAGAAAATACGAGCCTCAATACAAAAACAAATCAACTCTGACTAAAAACCAGGTGAGAACATAAAATGTGCGGCAGATGTATAAGGTATATGTGGAGTGTGCGGCTGATGTATAAGGTATATGTGGAGTGTGCGGCTGATGTATAAGGTATATGTGGAGTGTGCGGCTGATGTATAAGGTATATGTGGAGTGTGCGGCTGATGTATAAGGTATATGTGGAGTGTGCGGCTGATGTATAAGGTATATGTGGAGTGTGCGGCTGATGTATAAGGTATATGTGGAGTGTGCGGCTGATGTATAAGGTATATGTGGAGTGTGCGGCTGATGTATAAGGTATATGTGGAGTGTGCGGCTGATGTATAAGGTATATGTGGAGTGTGCGGCTGATGTATAAGGTATATGTGGAGTGTGCGGCTGATGTATAAGGTATATGTGGAGTGTGCGGCTGATGTATAAGGTATATGTGGAGTGTGCGGCTGATGTATAAGGTATATGTGGAGTGTGCGGCTGATGTATAAGGTATATGTGGAGTGTGCGGCTGATGTATAAGGTATATGTGGAGTGTGCGGCTGATGTATAAGGTATATGTGGAGTGTGCGGCTGATGTATAAGGTATATGTGGAGTGTGCGGCTGATGTATAAGGTATATGTGGAGTGTGCGGCTGATGTATAAGGTATATGTGGAGTGGAGCACATCAGACACTCTTGTTGGAGTGCGTCAGACACTCTTGTTGGAGTGCATCAGACACTCTTGTTGGAGTGCATCAGACACTCTTGTTGGAGTGCATCAGACACTCTTGTTGGAGTGCATCAGACACTCTTGTTGGAGTGCATCAGACACTCTTGTTGGAGTGCATCAGACACTCTTGTTGGAGTGCATCAGCAGAACTGACATTTCTCCATTTATTAACAATTACTGGTAGTGTAGTCTGTGAACTATTGGATTTATTTTTAAATTCAATTACATACAATGATGTAATTGTGCTTCATTGTTTAGTTTGTTGTGCACCCCATACTCCTCCTGTGAGTGAGGAGTATGTGTACTGCACACCATACTCTTCCACTCACAGGAAGAGTATGGGGTGCACAATAACTACCACTCACAGGAAGAGTATGGGGTGCACAATAACCACCGCTCACAGGAAGAGTATGGGGTGCACAATAACCACCGCTCACAGGAAGAGTATGGGGTGCACAATAACTACCACTCACAGGAAGAGTATGGGGTGCACAATAACTACCACTCACAGGAAGAGTATGGGGTGCACAATAACTACCACTCACAGGAAGAGTATGGGGTGCACAATAACTACCACTCACAGGAAGAGTATGGGGTGCACAATAACCACCGCTCACAGGAAGAGTATGGGGTGCACAATAACCACCGCTCACAGGAAGAGTATGGGGTGCACAATAACTACCACTCACAGGAAGAGTATGGGGTGCACAATAACTACCACTCACAGGAAGAGTATGGGGTGCACAATAACTACCACTCACAGGAAGAGTATGGGGTGCACAATAACTACCACTCACAGGAAGAGTATGGGGTGCACAATAACTACCACTCACAGGAAGAGTATGGGGTGCACAATAACTACCACTCACAGGAAGAGTATGGGGTGCACAATAACTACCGCTCACAGGAAGAGTATGGGGTGCACAATAACTACCACTCACAGGAAGAGTATGGGGTGCACAATAACTACCACTCACAGGAAGAGTATGGGGTGCACAATAACTACCACTCACAGGAAGAGTATGGGGTGCACAATAACTACCACTCACAGGAAGAGTATGGGGTGCACAATAACTACCACTCACAGGAAGAGTATGGGGTGCACAATAACTACCACTCACAGGAAGAGTATGGGGTGCACAATAACTACCACTCACAGGAAGAGTATGGGGTGCACAATAACTACCACTCACAGGAAGAGTATGGGGTGCACAATAACTACCACTCACAGGAAGAGTATGGGGTGCACAATAACTACCACTCACAGGAAGAGTATGGGGTGCACAATAACTACCACTCACAGGAAGAGTATGGGGTGCACAATAACTACCACTCACAGGAAGAGTATGGGGTGCACAATAACTACCACTCACAGGAAGAGTATGGGGTGCACAATAACTACCACTCACAGGAAGAGTATGGGGTGCACAATAACTACCACTCACAGGAAGAGTATGGGGTGCACAATAAACTACCACTCACAGGAAGAGTATGGGGTGCACAATAACTACCACTCACAGGAAGAGTATGGGGTGCACAATAACTACCACTCACAGGAAGAGTATGGGGTGCACAATAACTACCACTCACAGGAAGAGTATGGGGTGCACAATAACTACCACTCACAGGAAGAGTATGGGGTGCACAATAACTACCACTCACAGGAAGAGTATGGGGTGCACAATAACTACCACTCACAGGAAGAGTATGGGGTGCACAATAACTACCACTCACAGGAAGAGTATGGGGTGCACAATAACTACCACTCACAGGAAGAGTATGGGGTGCACAATAACTACCACTCACAGGAAGAGTATGGGGTGCACAATAACTACCACTCACAGGAAGAGTATGGGGTGCACAATAACTACCACTCACAGGAAGAGTATGGGGTGCACAATAACTACCACTCACAGGAAGAGTATGGGGTGCACAATAACTACCACTCACAGGAAGAGTATGGGGTGCACAATAACTACCACTCACAGGAGTTACAAACATTCTGATGTATTTATAGATAGAGCTAGTACATACAATACCTAAAGGCACTATAACGCATAGCGTTTCTGTTACAAATACAACCAATAAAGCGGCTTCTCGCTCTCTTCACCATTCCTTTAACATGAAATATTTATTCTGGGGAAAAAATAATATATTTTTTTTAATTCTGATTAATTCAAATTAGTAGACCTGCCTGGGACGAGCGACCTGCCAGGGACGGGCGGCCTGCCAGGGACGGGCGGCCTGCCAGGGACGCGCGACCTGCCTGGGACGAGCGACCTGCCAGGGACGGGCGGCCTGCCAGGGACGCGCGACCTGCCTGGGACGAGCGACCTGCCAGGGACGGGCGCCCTGCCAGGGACGGGCGGCCTGCCAGGGACGGGCGACCTGCCAGGGACGGGCGGCCTGCCAGGGACGGGCGACCTGCCACGGACGGGCGACCTGCCACGGACGGGCGACCTGCCAGGGACGAGCGACCTGCCTGGGACGGGCGGCCTGCCAGGGACGGGCGGCCTGCCACGGACGGGCGACCTGACACGGACGGGCGGCCTGCCACGGACGGGCGACCTGCCACGGACGGGCGACCTGCCAGGGACGGGCGACCTGCCAGGGACGCGCGACCTGCCAGGGACGGGCGGCCTGCCAGGGACGGGCGACCTGCCAGGGACGGGCGGCCTGCCAGGGACGGGCGACCTGCCAGGGACGGGCGGCCTGCCACGGACGGGCGACCTGCCACGGACGGGCGACCTGCCACGGTCGGGCGACCTGCCAGGGGCGCGCGACCTGCCTGGGACGCGCTACCTGCCACGGACGGGCGGCCTGCCTGGGACGGGCGACCTGCCACGGACGGGCGACCTGCCATGGACGGGCGGCCTGCCTGGGACGGGCGGCCTGCCACGGACGGGCGACCTGCCTGGGACTGGCGGCCTGCCACGGACGGGCGACCTGCCTGGGACGGGCGACCTGCCACGGACGGGCGACCTGCCACGGACGGGCGACCAGCCAGGGACGGGCGACCTGCCAGGGACGGGCGACCTGCCACGGACGGGCGACCTGCCACGGACGGCGACCTGCCAGGGACGCGCGACCTGCCTGGGACGGGCGGCTTGCCAGGGACGGGCGGCTTGCCAGGGACTGGCGGCCTGCCAGGGACGGGCGGCCTGACAGGGACCGGCGACCTGCCTGGGACGGGCGACCTGCCTGGGACGGGCGGCCTGCCAGGGACGGGCGACCTACCTGGGACGGGCGGCCTGCCAGGGACGGGCGACCTGCCTGGGACGGGCGACCTGCCTGGGACGGGCGGCCTGCCAGGGACGGGCGACCTGCCTGGGACGGGCGACCTGCCTGGGACGGGCGGCCTGCCAGGGACGGGCGACCTGCCTGGGACGGGCAGCTTGCCAGGGACGGGCGGCCTGCCAGGGACGGGCGGCCTGCCTGGGACGCGCGACCTGCCTGGGACGGGCAGCCTGTCAGGGACGCGCGACCTGCCTGGGACGGGCGCCCTGCCAGGGACGGGCGGCTTGCCAGGGACGGGCGGCCTGCCAGGGACGCGCGACCTGCCACGGACGGGCGACCTGCCAGGGACGGGCGACCTGCCAGGGACGCGCGACCTGCCACGGACGGGCGACCTGCCACGGACGGGCGACCTGCCAGGGACGGACGGCCTGCCAGGGACGGGCGACCTGCCAGGGACGGGCGACCTGCTACGGACGGGCGGCCTGCCACGGACGGGCGACCTGCCAGGGACGGACGACCTGCCAGGGACGGGCGGCCTGCCAGGGATGGGCGGCCTGCCAGGGACGGGCGGCCTGCCAGGGACGGGCGGCCTGCCAGGGACGGGCGGCCTGCCAGGGACGGGCGGCCTGCCAGGGACGGGCGGCCTGCCAGGGACGGGCGGCCGGCCCGGGACGGGCGGCCTGCCAGGGACGGGCGGCCTGCCAGGGACGGGCGGCCTGCCAGGGACGGGCGGCCTGCCAGGGACGGGCGGCCTGCCAGGGACGGGCGGCCTGCCAGGGACGGGCGGCCGGTAGGGACGGGCGGCCGGTAGGGACGGGTGTGTATACATGGTGGTATCTTGCTGCTAATTTACAACATTGATTATTGCTGTCATTAGCATCACCAGCAGCCCTGCTCTTAATGGCGTGTGACGCGGGTAAAGTGCCAGGGTGGGCGTGGTGGCGGGGTGGGCGTGGTGGCGGGGTGGGCGTGGTGGCGGGGTGGGCGTGGTGGCGGGGTGGGCGTGGTGGCGGGGTGGGCGTGGTGGCGGGGTGGGCGTAGGGGTGCAGTGGGTTTGGGGAGGCATGATGGTGGGTGAGCGTGGGACTCAAGGTGGGCGTGGAATGTTGGGTAGGTGGACGTTTGAACGTGATAGGCTGGGTGGGCGGTCGTAGGAGGCTGGGTGGGCGGTCGTAGGAGGCTGGGTGGGCGGTCGTAGGAGGCTGGGTGGGCGGGCGTGGGAGGCTGGGTGGGCGGTCGTAGGAGGCTGGGTGGGCGGTCGTAGGAGGCTGGGTGGGCGGTCGTAGGAGGCTGGATGGGCGGGCGTGGGAGGCTGGGTGGGCGGTCGTGGGAGGCTGGGTGGGCGGTCGTAGGAGGCTGGGTGGGCGGTCGTAGGAGGCTGGGTGGGCGGTCGTAGGAGGCTGGGTGGGCGGTCGTAGGAGGCTGGGTGGGCGGGCGTGGGAGGCTGGGTGGGCGGTCGTGGGAGGCTGGGTGGGCGGGCGTGGGAGGCTGGGTGGGCGGTCGTGGGAGGCTGGGTGGGCGGTCGTAGGAGGCTGGGTGGGCGGGCGTGGGAGGCTGGGTGGGCGGTCGTGGGAGGCTGGGTGGGCGGTCGTGGGAGGCTGGGTGGGCGGGCGTGGGAGGCTGGGTGGGCGGTCGTGGGAGGCTGGGTGGGCGGTCGTAGGAGGCTGGGTGGGCGGGCGTGGGAGGCTGGGTGGGCGGTCGTAGGAGGCTGGGTGGGCGGGCGTGGGAGGCTGGGTGGGCGGTCGTGGGAGGCTGGGTGGGCGGTCGTGGGAGGCTGGGTGGGCGGGCGTGGGAGGCTGGGTGGGCGGTCGTAGGAGGCTGGGTGGGCGGGCGTGGGAGGCTGGGTGGGCGGGCGTGGGAGGCTGGGTGGGCGGTCGTAGGAGGCTGGGTGGGCGGTCGTAGGAGGCTGGGTGGGCGGGCGTGGGAGGCTGGGTGGGAGGTCGTGGGAGGCTGGGTGGGCGGTCGTAGGAGGCTGGGTGGGCGGGCGTGGGAGGCTGGGTGGGCGGTCGTGGGAGGCTGGGTGGGCGGTCGTGGGAGGCTGGGTGGGCGGTCGTAGGAGGCTGGGTGGGCGGGCGTGGGAGGCTGGGTGGGCGGTCGTAGGAGGCTGGGTGGGCGGGCGTGGGAGGCTGGGTGGGCGGTCGTAGGAGGCTGGGTGGGCGGGGCGTGGGAGGTTGGGTGGGCGGGCGTAGGAGGCTGGGTGGGCGGGCGTGGGAGGCTGGGTGGGCGGGCGTGGGAGGCTGGGTGGGCGGGCGTGGGAGGCGGGGTTTGTGTTAGGGTGGGAGTGGCGGGGTTGGGCTGGGTGGCACTAATGGTCTGGTGCCAATGGGAGGAAAAAAAACGGTATTAATGGTCTAGTGTCAGGGAGGGTGGGAGGGGAGAGTGGGGGCATGATGGGAGGGGAGAGTGGGGGCATGATGGGAGGGGAGAGTGGGGGCATGATGGGAGGGGAGAGTGGGGGCATGATGGGAGGGGAGAGTGGGGGCATGATGGGAGGGGAGAGTGGGGGCATGATGGGAGGGGAGAGTGGGGGCATGATGGGAGGGGAGAGTGGAGGCATGATGGGAGGGGAGAGTGGAGGCATGATGGGAGGGGAGAGTGGAGGCATGATGGGAGGGGAGAGTGGGGGCATGATGGGAGGGGAGAGTGGGGGCATGATGGGAGGGGAGAGTGGGGGCATGATGGGAGGGGAGAGTGGGGGCATGATGGGAGGGGAGAGTGGAGGCATGATGGGAGGGGAGAGTGGGGGCATGATGGGAGGGGAGAGTGGGGGCATGATGGGAGGGGAGAGTGGGGGCATGATGGGAGGGGAGAGTGGGGGCATGATGGGAGGGGAGAGTGGAGGCATGATGGGAGGGGAGAGTGGAGGCATGATGGGAGGGGAGAGTGGAGGCATGATGGGAGGGGAGAGTGGGGGCATGATGGGAGGGGAGAGTGGGGGCATGATGGGAGGGGAGAGTGGAGGCATGATGGGAGGGTAGAGTGGGGGCATGATGGGAGGGGAGAGTGGGGGCATGATGGGAGGGGAGAGTGGGGGCATGATGGGAGGGGAGAGTGGGGGCATGATGGGAGGGGAGAGTGGGGGCATGATGGGAGGGGAGAGTGGGGGCATGATGGGAGGGGAGAGTGGGGGCATGATGGGAGGGGAGAGTGGGGGCATGATGGGAGGGGAGAGTGGGGGCATGATGGGAGGGGAGAGTGGGGGCATGATGGGAGGGGAAAGTGGGGGCATGATGGGAGGGGAGAGTGGGGGCATGATGGGAGGGGAGAGTGGGGGCATGATGGGAGGGGAGAGTGGGGGCATGATGGGAGGGGAGAGTGGGGGCATGATGGGAGGGGAGAGTGGGGGCATGATGGGAGGGGAGAGTGGGGGCATGATGGGAGGGGAGAGTGGGGGCATGATGGGAGGGGAGAGTGGGGGCATGATGGGAGGGGAGAGTGGGGGCATGATGGGAGGGGAGAGTGGGGGCATGATGGGAGGGGAGAGTGGGGGCATGATGGGAGGGGAGAGTGGGGGCATGATGTTAGGGGAGAGTGGGGGCATGATGGGAGGGGAGAGTGGGGGCATGATGGGAGGGGAGAGTGGGGGCATGATGGGAGGGGAGAGTGGGGGCATGATGGGAGGGGAGAGTGGGGGCATGATGGGAGGGGAGAGTGGGGGCATGATGGGAGGGGAGAGTGGGGGCATGATGGGAGGGGAGAGTGGGGGCATGATGGGAGGGGAGAGTGGGGGCATGATGGGAGGGGAGAGTGGGGGCATGATGGGAGGGGTGGGAGGGGAGAGTGGGGGCATGATGGGAGGGGAGAGTGGGGGCATGATGGGAGGGGAGAGTGGGGGCATGATGGGAGGGGAGAGTGGGGGCATGATGGGAGGGGAGAGTGGGGGCATGATGGGAGGGGAGAGTGGGGGCATGATGGGAGGGGAGAGGAGGGGAGAGGGGCATGATGGGAGGGGAGAGTGGGGGCATGATGGGAGGGGAGAGTGGGGGCATGATGGGAGGGGAGAGTGGGGGCATGATGGGAGGGGGAGTGGGGGAGAGTGGGGGCATGATGGGAGGGGAGAGTGGGGGCATGATGGGAGGGGAGAGTGTGGGGGCATGATGGGAGGGGAGAGTGGGGGCATGATGGGAGGGGAGAGTGGGGGCATGATGGGAGGGGAGAGTGGGGGCATGATGGGAGGGGAGAGTGGGGGCATGATGGGAGGGGAGAGTGGGGGCATGAGTGGGAGGGGAGAGTGGGGGCATGATGGGAGGGGAGAGTGGGGGCATGATGGGAGGGGAGAGTGGGGGCATGATGGGAGGGGAGAGTGGGGGCATGATGGGAGGGGAGAGTGGGGGCATGATGGGAGGGGAGAGTGGGGGCATGATGGGAGGGGAGAGTGGGGGCATGAGGGAGGGGAGAGTGGGGGCATGATGGAGGGGAGAGTGGGGCCATGATGGGAGGGGAGAGTGGGGGCATGATGGGAGGGGAGAGTGGGGGCATGATGTTAGGGGAGAGTGGGGGCATGATGGGAGGGGAGAGTGGGGGCATGATGGGAGGGGAGAGTGGGGGCATGATGGGAGGGGAGAGTGGGGGCATGATGGGAGGGGAGGGATTTTTTATTTTTGTATTAACACATTAGGTACATCTGCATTTGTGCAGCTGCCCTAGACTATATGAAGGGGCGTACAGTGTGACACAAAACTAGCTCCGAGATGCTAAAAATTTTCCATCACACAGGATAGTTAGTCATACAGAGACATGTGATCAGTAGTTTGCACTGGCAGACTCTGGGTGCATTATGAGGACAACATCATCAACCCAAGAGTGAATAAGGCAGCAGTGATACTAAAAGTTCTCGTCTCGCAGGATGGTTAGTCATACAGGGCCATATGTTCAGTAGCCTGCACTGGCAAACGTATGGCCCTGTATGACTGTTACGATATTAACTCTTTCTACGGAGTAAGGTGTGGTGATACCGATGCTATCTATATGGACCTCCACTCCAACTCCAAGGCATTAAGACTAAGACAACGCCATCTGTTGGCAGAGGTGTGGCGTCTGTGGAAGGCTTCTATTTCATACCTCAGTTAGGAGGTGAGGTCGATGATGATGACCCCTGGTGAGTGAAGTAATGATAACAACGCCATCTATATTGTGCATTCGATTACATTTCACAGTTCCCCAGTGAAAGGTTGCCATCCTATATTCTCCCTGTAATCTTTCTCTCTGGCTAATGACTTTTATGTTCACAGAGGTGGCGTGAAGAGTCTATTGTGCTGTGGAAGGTAGTTCACCTTGGGCAGTCCAGAACTCCAGACTTGTTTCCTGTGAGGTCAAGTGGCCGCCGTCGGTAGTAAGCCATGTGTTGGCTGCAGTACTTGTGCAGTGTTGTGTGGACCGACGTACCTGAGACATGGCCAAGAGGAGTTACAAGACGACAGTAGTGGTCATCTGCTGAGAAGTGCTGCTAGTGTGTTGCTAGAGACTTGTGCCAGGGTGTTAGAGACCCGCTGGACGTGATTATTTGTGACCCTTTGTCAGCGTGTTGCTGAAGCCCTCTGCCAGCGTGTTGCTGAAGCCCTCTGTCAGCATGTTGCTGAAGCCCTCTGCCAGTGTGTTGCTGAAACCCTCTGTCAGCATGTTGCTGAAGCCCTCTGCCAGTGTGTTGCTGAAGCCCTCTGCCAGTGTGTCGCTGAAGCCCTCTGCCAGTGTGTCGCTGAAGCCCTCTGCCAGTGTGTCGCTGGAGAGCAGATGTGGGGTATTAGGACTTGGTGACACTATGGTGAGTGGACTGGTCCATGATGAGGAAGGTGAACTCGCCGGTGAATACCATTGAACGTGGACGACGTGTACTTGGAGATAGTGGACTCACCGGGATTGATGAACACGGCAGAGGTATTAAGTGTCCTTTGTGAAGGAGACACTGTGTACATAAGTTTTTTTTTTTGAGATATATACAAGAGTTGTTACATTCTTGTACAGCCACTAGTATCATAGCGTTTCGGGCAGGTCCCTGGAATACGACCCCCACGAAGAATCGGTTTTACAACCAAGTACACATTTTACTGTTGAGTTAAACAGAGGCTACAGTTAAGGATTTGCGCCCAGTAAATCCTCCCCGGCCAGGATACGAACCCATGACAAAGCGCTCGCGGAATGCCAGGTGAGTGTCTTACCACTACACCACGGAGACTGGTAAAGTTATACTGGACTGGACTGATAGTTATACTTCGAATGATAATATATTGGTTAAAGTATAATTGTGTCTTGTTTACTCCCCCCCCCCCCTTTATTCCTTGCACTATTACTTCCAACCGCCAATTCTTGAGAACTCACCATTGACTTGGGATGGAATCATAGAAGAAGAGGCTATAAGGCACATTACACAGAAGGAATCCAGTTACTGGCTCAAGCAAGTCGTAACATAATTGGCATCCCCAGCGGGATCCGACTTCTTGTCAGGTAAATTTGATAGATTTGGTAAAGTGATTAGTTCAATTCTCTTGTATAGATTTCATTTCCATTTTTAGTGTAAGTGTTAAGTGCAGTGTTACTTGACTGAGTGCGGCGTTACAAAAAGTGAACAATGGCCGAGAAACAGACCAGTGATACTCTGGACGATGTTCAGGAGTTCCTAAACCAGGAGAACTGTCTCCCCAAATTAAAACATCTTGGAAAACCTGAGTTAGTGTTACTAAGTGCCTACCTTGAGATTAAGGTGAGCGATCGAGATTCGCGTGTTGAGATCCTCTCTAAGGTGAATAGGCATTTAAAACCTAACAGCAAGCAGGAAAGAAAAGTCCCTAGTAAAGGAGAGAGTGTTATGGCGTCCACTGAAAAGGAAGACCAGGGAAGTGATGGTGAGAGTGACCCAGGTGACCTTAATATGAGACTCTTGACAGTGAGAATGCGAGAATTAGAGATAAATCGTGAAATAGAGTTAAACGGTTGGAAAGAGAACTAGAGAGAGACGAAAAGGTGTGAGAAAGAGAACAAAGAAGAGAGAGAGAACAGAAAGAAAGAGAAGAGAAAGAAAGAGAAGAGAGGGAAATGGAAATGAAACGTTTGGAAATAGAAGAAAGGAGAGAAAGAGAAGAGAGAAAAAGAAAAGGAGAGAGAAAGGCAACACGAATTGGAAATGCTAAGATTAAGTGGTAAAAGAGACACCAGTGGTTTCGACCCAGTGCGGAACATGAAAATGGTGCCGAAGTTCAATGAGAAGGTGTTTAACTTCTTTGCTGCCTTTAAAAACGTAGCTGCATCATTAGACTGGTCAAAAGACAATTGGGCAATTATGATCCAGTCAGTGCTGACTGGAAAAGCCCAAACAGCGTACCCCACACTGTAACTAGTAACTCTAGTGATTACGACGCTGTCAAGAAGGTGGTGCTGATGGCTTACCAGTTGGTGCCTGAAGCATATAGGCAGAAGTTTTGCAACCTTAAGAAGACATCAGAGCACATCTTTACAGAGTTCGCATGTATTAAGGAGCGGCTGTTTTACGAATGGTGCGCATCTCGTAAGGTGGAGACCAAAGAAGAACTGGAACAACTCGTCTTATTAGAAGATTTCAAAGAATGTTTTTCCGGTGATCTAAAGACATACTGAAAGGAACAACAAGTGGAGACCTTGGGTGCTGCAGCCACCATGGCTGAAGAATCTAGTCTAACCCATAGACCCTCTACCAGGTATGTTCCGAAGAGCTACTCAGAACCATTGTTGAATTATAAGCCGGAAAAGAAGACCGTCTCAGGTGGTGCCGTGAAGACACTCCCTGGTAGTCCAAGACGGACTAGTCCAAGGAGAGACATAGTGTGTTGGACCTGCGGGAAGAGAGGGACACATGTCTGCTAAGTGTAGAAGCAGGACAGGTAACGACCGCACTGGGAGGTTATGCTGGTGAGTTGTGACACCACCAGTAGAAACCCATTCTCTGTGCACAAATAGAGAAAACCATTGTTTAGTTGTTTGTCCCCTACACTTCAAAAGGGTATGTGTCGAGTGACCAGACTAACAGGTCTGTAATGATTCTCTTTACCTGAGGACGTGCCTACTGATGAGAAACAGAGTTATTTTGGTGGGTTTCCCTCGAATTGGTACGTTGCTCCTTTGGTAGAACATTTGGAATCGCCATATTTCAATGGCAAGTGTACTTTGGTAGCAGTGGATCATCTTCCTATATAAGGGATAGAGGTCTTACGGGCTAAGTCTTAGCTTTGAGTTTGGATGGTAACCATCCCATGGTTGTGGACGATCCGGTTGAAAAAGGTGGCCAGACCTGTGGTAGCAGTACAAACCAAATCTCAGGCACAGACGCATTTGAGATTAAATGGCTTGCCTAATCCTACATCTATCCCAAGGGTTGTTGACAGCACTCCATCGAGCATTCTCGACTCTAACCCCGAACCGAGGCACTGGACTAGAGCGACCTGGAAAACTGAGCCAGAGAAGCGACCCTAAGTGAAAGTAACCACAAATATCCTAGAGACTGGTGTGATCGCAGGTTACCCGTACTTGCGGAAAGATAAGGTGCAGTGCCCACGGAATCAACCAAGAACTACCCAGACCTCAGAGGTATGTGCTCAGGTTGTCGTACCTTCAACGTCCCGAACAAGGCTGACGGAAACAGTCCATTATGGACATTGCAGGCTTGCGAAAGTTGTTCATCACCCAGCCAGATATTTCTTCAGTATCTTACGTGTTTTTATCCTCTTTGCCATAGGGTCAGTGCCGAGTAAGTCTCTGGCATCCTCTCCATTTGAGAGGATACGGTCACACGGTGAGAGGACCGTTAGAGGAGACCAAGGAAGGACCACAAGCAGACGCAGGTCCAGCAGTACCAACGACGGGACATTCCCACAGCGATGATGGTGATGGCGAGAGAACCAAGAAGTGATGGAGGAGGTTGGTAGTCAAATAAATGTTATAATAAGTGACAGGTCAAGTCAGGTTCATGTTCCTCTTGTAACTAGTGAGTCAGGCGCTAGCATTATAAGGAATGTAGCGTGGTGGGGGTCAAGTGAGAGCCGGATGTTTCTCCTGGTGTGGGTCTCAAGTGAGAGCCGGATGTTTCTCCTGATGTGCGTCTCAAGTGAGAGCCGGATGTTTCTCCTGGTGTGGGTCTCAAGTGAGAGCCGGATGTTTCTCCTGGTGTGGGTCTCAAGTGAGAGCCGGATGTTTCTCCTGGTGTGGGTCTCAAGTGAGAGCCGGATGTTTCTCCTGATGTGCGTCTCAAGTGAGAGCCGGATGTTTCTCCTGGTGTGGGTCTCAAGTGAGAGCCGGATGTTTCTCCTGATGAGGGCGTCAAGTGAGAGCCGGATGTTTCTCCTGGTGTGGGTCTCAAGTGAGAGCCGGATGTTTCTCCTGGTGTGGGTGTCAAGTGAGAGCCGGATGTTTCTCCTGGTGTGGGCCTCGAGTGAAAGCCGGATGTTTCTCCTGGTGTGGGCCTCGAGTGAGAGCCGGATGTTTCTCCTGGTGTGGGGGTCAGGTGAGAGCCGGATGTTTCTCCTGGTGTGGGCCTCGAGTGAGAGCCAGATGTTTCTCCTGGTGTGGGCCTCGAGTGAGAGCCGGATGTTTCTCCTGGTGTGGGCCTCGAGTGAGAGCCGGATGTTTCTCCTGGTGTGGGCCTCAAGTGAGAGCCGGATGTTTCTCCTGGTGTGGGCCTCGAGTGAGAGCCGGATGTTTCTCCTGGTGTGGGCCTCGAGTGAGAGCCGGATGTTTCTCCTGGTGTGGGCCTCGAGTGAGAGCCGGATGTTTCTCCTGGTGTGGGCCTCGAGTGAGAGCCGGATGTTTCTCCTGGTGTGGGGGTCAGGTGAGAGCCGGATGTTTCTCCTGGTGTGGGCCTCGAGTGAGAGCCGGATGTTTCTCCTGGTGTGGGCCTCAAGTGAGAGCCGGATGTTTCTCCTGGTGTGGGCCTCGAGTGAGAGCCGGATGTGTTTCCTGGTGTGGGCCTCAAGTGAGAGCCGGATGTTTCTCCTGGTGTGGGCCTCGAGTGAGAGCCGGATGTTTCTCCTGGTGTGGGCCTCGAGTGAGAGCCGGATGTTTCTCCTGGTGTGGGCCTCGAGTGAGAGCCGGATGTTTCTCCTGGTGTGGGCCTCGAGTGAGAGCCGGATGTTTCTCCTGGTGTGGGCCTCGAGTGAGAGCCGGATGTTTCTCCTGATGTGGGCCTCGAGTGAGAGCCGGATGTTTCTCCTGGTGTGGGCCTCGAGTGAGAGCCGGATGTTTCTCCTGGTGTGGGCCTCGAGTGAGAGCCGGATGTTTCTCCTGGTGTGGGGGTCAGGTGAGAGCCGGATGTTTCTCCTGGTGTGGGCCTCGAGTGAGAACCGGATGTTTCTCCTGGTGTGGGCCTCGAGTGAGAGCCGGATGTTTCTCCTGGTGTGTGGGCCTCAAGTGAGAGCCGGATGTTTCTCCTGGTGTGGGCTTCGAGTGAGAGCCGGATGTTTCTCCTGGTATGGGCCTCAAGTGAGAACCGGATGTTTCTCCTGGTGTGGGCCTCAAGTGAGAGCCGGATGTTTCTCCTGGTGTGGGCCTCAAGTGAGAGCCGGATGTTTCTCCTGGTGTGGGCCTCGAGTGAGAGCCGGATGTTTCTCCTGGTGTGGGCCTCGAGTGAGAGCCGGATGTTTCTCCTGGTGTGGGCCTCAAGTGAGAGCCGGATGTTTCTCCTGGTGTGGGCCTCAAGTGAGAGCCGGATGTTTCTCCTGGAGGGACTGAGAGAGGGAGTGAGGAAGGGAATTATCTGGGGAAAGCGCCAAGCCAATACCTCTATATAACACTTGGAAGGGGTCAGGATGAGAGAGAGGGAGTGAGAGAGAGGGAGTGTGAGGGAGTGAGAGAGAGAGAGGGAGTGTGAGCGAGTGAGAGAGAGGGAGTATGAGGGAGTGTGAGAGGGGAGAGTGAGGGAGTGTGAGAGGGGAGAGTGAGGGAATGAGAGAGGGGAGAGTGAGGGAGTGAGGGAGTGAGAGAGGGGAGAGTGAGAGAGGGGAGAGTGAGGGAGTGTGAGAGGGGAGAGTGAGGGAATGAGAGAGGGGAGAGTGAGGGAGTGAGAGAGGGGAGAGTGAGGGAGAGGGAGTGCAGTTGGCGCGGCCACTTATGTCTTGTCACTTAATTATACCATAATTAACTTAATCCTTATTCTGGCCACACGTCTCCCTCCTGCTCCCTTACCTGCCCCCTGAGGCTCTGATGCCTCCACTGTGGGGCCTCCACTGTGGGGCCTCCACTGTGGGGCCTCCACTGTGGGGCCTCCACTGTGGAACCTCCACTGTGGTGCCTCCACTGTGGGGCCTCCACTGTGGAACCTCCACTGTGGTGCCTCCACTGTGGTGCCTCCACTGTGGGGCCTCCACTGTGGTGCCTCCACTGTGGTGCCTCCACTGTGGGGCCTCCACTGTGGTGCCTCCACTGTGGGGCCTCCACTGTGGTTCCTCCACTGTGGGGCCTCCACTGTGGTGCCTCCACTGTGGTGCCTCCACTGTGGTGCCTCCACTGTGGTGCCTCCACTGTGGGGCCTCCACTGTGGTGCCTCCACTGTGGTGCCTCCACTGTGGTGCCTCCACTGTGGTGCCTCCACTGTGGGGCCTCCATTGTGGTGCCTCCACTGTGGGGCCTCCACTGTGGGGCCTCCACTGTGGTGCCTCCACTGTGGGGCCTCCACTGTGGGGCCTCCACTGTGGTGCCTCCACTGTGGGGCCTCCACTGTGGTGCCTCCACTGTGGTGCCTCCACTGTGGGGCCTCCACAGTGGGGCCTCCACTGTGGGGCCTCCACTGTGGTGCCTCCACTGTGGTGCCTCCACTGTGGTGCCTCCACTGTGGTGCCTCCACTGTGGTGCCTCCACTGTGGTGCCTTCACTGTGGTGCCTCCACTGTGGTGCCTCCACTGTCGTGCCTCCACTGTGGTGCCTTCACTGTGGTGCCTCCAATGTGGTGCCTCCACTGTGGTGCCTCCACTGTGGGGCCTCCACTGTGGTGCCTTCACTGTGGTGCCTCCACTGTGGTGCCTTCACTGTGGTGCCTCCACTGTGGTGCCTCCACTGTGGTGCCTTCACTGTGGTGCCTCCACTGTGGTGCCTCCACTGTGGTGCCTCCACTGTGGTGCCTCCACTGTGGTGCCTCCACTGTGGGGCCTCCACTGTGGTGCCTTCACTGTGGTGCCTCCACTGTGGGGCCTCCACTGTGGGGCCTCCACTGTGGTGCCTTCACTGTGGTGCCTCCACTGTGGGGCCTCCACTGTGGGGCCTCCACTGTGGGGCCTCCACTGTGGGGCCTCCACTGTGGTGCCTTCACTGTGGGGCCTCCACTGTGGGGCCTCCACTGTGGGGCCTCCACTGTGGGGTTCTCGCCACGCCCTGTGGCTGGGGGGATTGGTGCCCTGAAGCTACATAAACACCCTATACCCCCCCGAAGTGTCAAGGGGAGTTAGGGGACGCACATAGTTATCTACTCAACTCTCAAACAGGATGAAAAGAAAAGTTACTCTTAGCTTATTCCTTATTTTTTTAACTCTCTAATAACCCCCATATACATTAATACAATATATCACTTTACCACTCTACCTTACGTTAAACACCCCCCTCCCCGCTCAGCTCGTTGTTGCCGTGAGGGGGCTTAGTGGGCGGCAGCCGGAGTGTGATGCTCCTTGGGACAGTCCTCTGTCCTTTTCTAGCCTTGTGCTCCTGCTGCTGTCCTCTCCAATTATGCTGAGCACCTTTTCCTTTTACTTCTGTCTCGTTTTTCTCCCCCCTCTTCTCCTATCTGCTTGCCGTTTCCTTCCGACCTTTTGCTTGTTCTGGTTCTTCCCTTGGACTTCTTCTATTTTGCCGCCCGGGTGCTTGAGGAGGCATACTCTTGCACCCGTAGAACTGTAGTACCTGACGTCTCGAGTGAGGGGAACCTTTTATTGTCAATCCCCCTTTCGTCACTGAACCCGATCTCGACGGACTGTTAGTTCTTAACACTGCAGATATAATGCACCACAGATATGGTGGTTAAAACTAAGTAGTAATTTTGGTGATATATATTATACTTACCGAATTTATTTTATAGAACCTAATATATTTCGCAATTTCACTGTTTTGTTGTTTGGAACACTAATAGTGCTGTGATTATGTAAATTTCAGTAACACTTGTGTGCACTGATACACTGAGATTTATTGAGGCTAGGCTACTGATTAATTTTTACCATCTGTTCAGACTGCCTGATTATTTGATTAATTAATTTATTGCACTGATTCTTATTTGTAAACCATAAACATAATTTAAGGTTCTTCGAACTTCGATCATGTGGGGAAATCTACCTGTGAATAAATTGTTTGAATTTATTTGAAGTGTAAGTTTATTAATCCTTATTTAATTGAGTGGACTGTATGATTTTCATATTTATTTTCATTATTAAATTTCCACTTCACACAACCTGGATGGTTTTTTATTTCAGCTACACATAACTTAATCCATGAGTTGTTTTAATTAGATTAACTACTGGGAAGCCATATATTTGTAACCTACCAAATTATAGTTATTATATTTATATTTCACAGCTTAGCTGTTATGGTAGAAGTTGTGGGAAGCCAGCGGTACTCGTGGTTGATGGCGTGGTTATGTACAGGCTGGGACAAGTAAGTAAGTAAGTAAGTAATTATCAAAAGAAGGCACCAAACCGGGAAGGCTATGTAGCACCATCAAATACGCAAAATAATCAGAGGGCGCTAAATATCACCAAGAATGCCAATACGAGAACAAAAACGCATAAGGCGAACGATATCAAAAGTATCCGAGTCACCAAGAATTCTATTGAGGGACAGGTGACCGCGAGGGGCGGTCGGAAAGCAAGACACACGCTCGTCCTGGAAGTCAGGACATTCAAGAAGGACATGCACGACCGTAAGAGGGACAATGCAACTAGGACAATAAGGAGCAGGGCGGCGTTCCATCAAGTGACCATGGGTTAAGCGAGTATGGCCAATACGCAACCTCGCCAGAGCTGTTTCCCACCGCCGGTTACGGTGGAAGGTGGACTGCCACGAGGAAACACCACATTTAAGAATACGTAGTTTGTTACCAGTAACAGACAACCAAGAAGCCTGCCAATGGGTAAGGACGGAGGAATGGATAACCAGGTAAAAGTCGGAATACAGAATACCTTTACGAGAGATGGGACAAGAGCAGACAGCTTCCTTGGCGGCAGCATCCGCACGCTCATTTAAAGACACACCAATATGGCTGGGAACCCAACAAAACTCAACCGACTTAAATTTACTGTAAACAAGAAACAGCCAATGCTGGATCTCGACAACTACTGGATGAACCAGATTAAAGGACCCGAGAGCCATGAGGGCACTACGAGAGTCAACAACAACTACAAAGGAAGACTGACAACGAGAAAGCAGGAGACGAAGAACATAGAGAATAACATAAAGCTCCGCTGTAAAGATGCTAGTCTCTGGAGGTAAGCGACACATATAAGTGCGATCAGGAAAAACAACAGAACAGCCAACACCGTCCGCAGACTTAGACCCATCGGTGAAGACAGAAACGGAGCGGGAGTGAGAAGAAAAGTGCTCAAGGAAAAGGCGTTTTAGAACCGTAGGAGGGGTAAATGCTTTAGTGATACGGTCAAGGATGTACAAAACCGCGGAAGAGGGACTCTCCACGGGGGCAAAGAAGGAACAACACGAGGAGAAACATTAGAAATACGAACGGAAAGAGAGTCCTATAGGCGAGATAACCGGACAGAAAGAGGGAAGTGGTGAAGAGGAACAGGAACCGCAGGAGGGGTAAAAGTTAAAGCACGACAGAGGCGAGAGGAAGGATGTTGCAAGGACCGCGCAAGATAGCGAAGACAGTAGCGATCATGGTGGTCTTGGAGAGACAGGAAGCCAGTGTCAACATACAAGCTAAGGATGGGAGTCGAACGAAAGGCACCAGAACTGAGGCGCAACCCAGTATGGTGCAAAGCATCAAGACGGCGAAGAGTAGAAGGAGAAGCAGACGAGTAAGCAGGGCAACCATAATCGAGCTTAGACAGGACGAGAGAGGAATGTAAAGCAAGGAGAGTGCGCCTATCTGCTCTCCAAGAAGTATGGGACAAGACCCGAAGGAGGGTAAGGGCCTTAAAGCACTCAACACGGAGGTAAGAGATATGGGGAGACCAAGACAAACGAGTGTCAAAGAATAACCCGAAAAGCTTCACGGAATCTTTGTACTCAAGGGGATGACCATAAAGTGACAAAGAGGGACGAAGAACGACCCATTTCCGCGTAAAAGTCATGGCACAAGTCTTAGTAGTAGAGAACTTGAAGCCATGATCGGTGGCCCAGACGACACGGCATCAATTGCAAGTTGAAGCTGGCGTTGAAGGAGAGGCGAATCATCACCCTGACCGCAAAGGGTAAGATCATCGACATAGAGAGCAGAGAAGACACCTGAAGGAAGAGAGGAAAGAAGACCATTGAGGGCAACCAGAAAAAGAGTAGTGCTTAGAACACTACCCTGGGACACACCTTCGTATTGCTGAAAAGAGGCAGAGAGAGCGGTACCAAGGTGCACCCGAAAGGAACGACGAGAGAGGAAGCTGCGGAGAAAGAGAGGGAGATGACCACGAAGGCCAAAAGAATGAAGTTGAGATAGAATATGATACCGCCAAGTGGTGTCGTAAGCCTTTTCCAGGTCAAAAAGGACGGCAACAACGGAGGTCTTCGCAGCAAAAGCAGT